CCTATCCACATTTATTTATTTGTTTGTTGTTTTATATATATATAAAAAAGAGCAGGGACAATGTTTCCCCAATGCAAAAGACTAGCCATTAAAATCTAATTAAAAGCCACATATCCATCATAGTAAAATTATGCAAAATACATACACTGACTTATATCCCACCCTCTCCTCCTACATTCATCTCCCCCCCCCCCCCCGTGCTCCTTCGGAGCTGCAGATAAAAAATTAACAACATTGGGAGAAATATCTGCAATATGCAGAACATGGGTATCAATAATGCATGGTTTTTACTTTATCTTGTAGGTAAATTGCTGTAGGAAACGGTTCTCCCGACAGATTGCAGAGATCCTGGATGTATTATAAATTGCTTCTCCTTAGAAAAACCCACAAAAGAACAAGAGCGCAATGGATTTCATTGCTATTCAGTCATACAGGCAAAAGAGACCGTGCCCAAATCTTGCTGAAGGAATGCCAGGCACAGCAATCTTCCTTTTCCGCCAGGACCCAGACCCACATCAAGGCGCTGAACCCGGGCCACGCATGAATTTAACCTGTACATTTTCACAAAGCTTTCGCTTAAAGAGGGAACTAAACACACAGAATCCAGCCCAACCAGTAAGGAAGCCTAGTAACACCAAAGCTGACTTTGGTGAGTTATTAAGGGTGGCCATGTGTCCTCCTTTAAAGAGGACAGTCCTCTATTTGAAAGGCTGTCAGAAGAGAGTCCTTTGTTTGAAATAGTTCTCTACCCAAAGGACTGTCTGGTCCAAATCCAGTTTAAAGATAAAGGACCATAGGAAGCAGTGCACTTAGGTAATTATAGACTCTGGACTGAAAGGTCTTATGGGGTAGGGGACTTGCTAGATGATAATTTATATTACTGTACTTCGCTCATTTCAAAATATGGTAAGCCAGCCCTGTTTGGTTTTCTCATTCTGATAACTGCAGCCCTGGACGTCTGTCGCAAACTCCTGCCCCGATGGCACCACAACTGAACCGCGAATCCGCGAAGTCACACGAAAGGGAGCAAAAACAGCCCTGAAAGAGCACAAAAATGGTGCAGAAACAGTACCTAGCAATCCCACAAGCCTTTGCAAGTGCAATCCCAAGAGCCCTTGCTCCAACCCTTTGAAGCCTGTGGAGAGTTGGGAGTTTGAGCAAAGGAGGTTTGAAGGGTGTTTGCAGGCTTTTTCAACGGTGTCCCAAATATACGCAATTTCACTTAAACTTGAGGTGCCTCAGAACGCAACCCCGCATAAATGGGGAGTTGCCTGTAATAAACATTATGAAAATTGGCTTCAGGTACCAGGCCCATTAGGGACGCGGGTGGCACAGTGGGTTAAACCACAGAGCCTAGGACTTGCCGATCAGAAGGTCGGCAGTTCGAATCCCCACGACGGGGTGAGCTCCCGTTGCTCGGTCCCAGCTCCTGCCCACCTAGCAGTTCGAAAGCACGTCAAGTGAAAGTAGATAAATAGGTACCGCTCCAGCGGGAAGGTAAACGGCGTTTCCGTGCGCTGCTCTGGTTCGCCAGAAGTGGCTTAGTCATGCTGGCCACATGACCCGGAAGCTGTACGCCGGCCCCCTCAGCCAATAAAGCAAGATGAGCACCGCAACCCCAGAGTCGGTTACGACTGGACCTAATGGTCAGGGGTCCCTTTACCAGGCCCATTGGCAGACCAACTCTGTGCTGCAAAGATGTCTGCAAACGTGTCATGAAGACTGGAAGGCTGCAACCATGACATGAAGAAATGGCTGCTGGGGGGAGTGCAAAGAGAAGAAGTGCCATGGTGCATCTGCAGCAGCACAACAGGACACCTTCATCTGCCCCAGATGCAACAAAACATGTCTCTCCCATCCATATCGGTCTCTACAGCCACAGCAGGCACTGTAACTCTCCAACGGTTTGACATCACCCTCAGAGGCACACTCCTCCATTGTTGACGGATGCCAACAACATGCAAATTAGCATGTTCACATTTTATGCGAATCTTCACCCTCTTTGAGTGGCCACTCTAGAGTCCTTCAGTCAGACGTGATCCTTACAGCAAGTTCACTGACCCAGGCAGCAAGGAAACTCCAACCAAAAGGGCTGTCAAAATCACAACAAACTGTTTTGTGAATCCTGCCAAGTACGGACGCACAGCTGAACGTGTAAAAGCTTCCCCGCAAACTTCGAAGTGCTCAGGAAAGCAAGGAGCACAAAACAACGGTAACTCGAAAGTTTGAGTAGCAGAATGCTAAAGAAAATAGCCTAAGGTGACCACAACATGGGCCTGTGAAGACAAGGTGGGCTAAAGATCATGCTCTATTGTACATTTAAGCAGCCCAGGTGAAAACTGAAAGCCGGGCAGCAATCAATATTCAACCTCTGTCAGTTCGTGGAGATCTTCCTGTTCCCTTAATGGCAACGTGGAATGCCTCCTGACACATTTGAGTGTTGCAGTAGAGCTGGAAACCCAGCCCTGCAAAATCCTTTGAATGCTCGAATGAAGGCTTTGCGTTTCACAGCTTACACACTTGCCATTAGTCAATGCTGAACCTCAATAGAGATATCACGTTCCACATTTTGTTCAACGTGGTTTTCACAGCATCGTATCCACAGAGCGGCACAGAAAACCCTCCAAACAGTGTTAGCAGAAGATGCGCTAAGAGCTAAATGAAAATTGATCATTTCCCCTCCTGCCCGTCTGGTCTTCAGTTTAATCAATTCTGGACAGATACTGGCATATGGAAATAGAGAGACACATTTGCTAAAACCCAGGAACACTGATAAAAAGCCTGGTTTTAAAGCACAATTCGTTTCCAGGCTGGACTGGATTCAAGGAAGGAAGGGGAGATTGCGAGGCCAAAAAAAAATGTGCTTTTGTACAGAGAAATCTGTTTGAGGGAAAGAAGACTATTGCCTTGGAATAACAATGGTGAAATATGAATAATGTTATGCTGGTTTTCAGTACAATCTTATACATGCCAACTCAGAAGTAAACTCCACAAGGATTCCGATGCGGCTTACGCACAGGTCAGTGAATACTGCTTGCGGCCTTAATGTGCACAGTTACTAGAGATGCAAACGTACATTGTAGTCCTACAAAAACGATTCCATTTCAACAGAAAACAGATCTTGGCACCAAAAGCCTCAATCCAGATGTAATGCTGGTTCCCAATTAGCCAGGGATGGGAAAATCTTTTGAGCCAGTGCATCAAATCTGATGATGCTACCCATCAGTCAATGGTCCGGCATAATGATGATCGACACCTCTCAATGCACAGATGTGATTGACACCTGTGAACGCACAGTGCTTCCAAAGACCACAACAGTCAGCTAGTTGTCAGGAACACGGGAATAATAATAATAATTTATTATTTGTACCCCTCCCATCTGGCTGGGCTTCCCCAGCCACTCTGGGCGGCTTCCAAAAAAAAAGGGTATTAAAAAACCCCAAAACATCAAACATTAAAAGCTTCCCAGATGTCTTCTAAAAGTCTGGTAGTTGTTGTTCTCTTTGACATCTGGTGGGAGGGCGTTCCACAGGGAGGGCGCCACTACCTAGAAGGCCCTCTGTCTTTCCCACCATGGGGGTGGAGACGTTTTCCCATGGGGGTGGAGACGCTCCTTCAGGTATACAGGACCGAGGCCGTTTAGGGCTTTAAAGGTCAGCACCAATACTTTGAATTGTGCTCGGAAACGTACTGGGAGCCAATGTAGGTCTTTTAAGACCGGTGTTATGTGGTCCCGGCAGCTGCTCCCAGTCACCAGTCTAGCTGCCGCATTCTGGATTAGTTGTAGTTTCCGGGTCACCTTCAAAGGTAGCCCCATGTAGAGGGCATTACAGTAGTCCAAGCGGGAGATAACCAGAGCATGCACCACTCTGGCGAGGCAGTCTGTGGGCAGGTAGGGTCTCAGCCTGCGTACCAGGTGGAGCTGGTAAACAGCTACCCTGGACACAGATTTGACCTGTGCCTCCATGGACAGCTGCGAGTCCAAAATGATTCCCAGGCTGTGCACCTGGTCCTTCAGGGGCACAGTTACCCCATTCAGGACCAGGGAATCCTCCACACCTGCCCGCCTCCTGTCCCCCAAGAACAGTACTTCTCTCTTGTCAGGATTCAACCTCAATCTGTTAGCCGCCATCCATCCTCCAACCGCCTCCAGGCACTCACACAGGACTTTCACCGCCTTCACTGGTTCTGATTTGAAAGAGAGGTAGAGATGGGTATCATCCGCATACTGATGAACACCCAGCCCAAAGTGCTGTGGAAGGAGCTTTGCCAGTTAACAGTGCCCGCAAAGCTCCCTTTGGCCAAGACACACCTTTACCTTCCCCATACCTCATGGCACATTTGACATCATCAGGCATAGGGCAGGTGGGCATGGCTTGCAGGAGACAGTCTGGTGGGCCAAATGGGGAGGCCTATCAAGACAAATTGGGTCCATTGGCTAAAGCAGGCATAGGCAAACTCTGGCCTTCCAGATGTTTAGGACTACAATTTCCATCATCCCTAGCTAACAGGACCAGTGGTTAGGGATAATGGGAATTGTAGTCCCAAACATCTGGAGGGCGGAGTTTGCCTATGCCTGGGCTAGAGGTTCCCCAACCCTGCTGTAAACCATGGTTTAGAGTTGAAGATCCCTGCTGCCCTCCCTGAAACAAATTCTCCCATCACTTCTCCTGTTGCCATTAACCATGGTTTAGGAATGCATGTACAACAAATGCAAAATCAGATTCCAGAAGCCAGCTGGTAAACCATGGTTGAGAGGACCACCTGTGCTGGCTTCTTTGTTTGTTTTCTTATATTTTTCAACATTCAGCTACACTGCGTTTCCATATTCACCAAAGGAACTCAATTGGCCGTTTCTTCTGAGTAGACCCGTGTAAGATTCTGCAACCCCAAAACTAACCCAATTAGGACTAAGCATGCTGTTCGGGGGAGAAGCAGAAGACCAAGGAAGGGGATGGAATGAAGTATTCTGGGAAACAGCACAAGTGACTAGAAACCAAGCTGAGATAGACCAGTTGGTAGAACATGAGACTCTTAATCTCAGAGTCGTGGGTTCGAGCTGCATGTTGGGCAAAAGATCCCTGCATTGCAGGTGGTTGGACTAGATGATCCTCGTGGTCCCTTCCAACTCTACAGTCTATGATTCTAAGCCTGAAGAGGAGCAGTACACACTGCGACACTTTGCTGCATGTGGTTTCTAACTAGGAAACCGCTGCCGTCACTTAACAAAGGCAGCGGCTCCCAAAAGCAGCTTCTGCAAACACACACTTCGTCTCACTCTGACTTTCCAACAACGCTAGCTGCAGTCAAATTTCAGGTCTATATTTAGGCTGGAATTGGTTTAACTAACCCAGTGGATTGTTTCCTTAGGTTCCTGCCTTTGTCCGCAGTTCCTGGAGCATTAGCTGGTCCACCTGCAGCCAACCTCGCCTCCTCGGGTGCTCTACGGTTTGCCAGCAGCAGCAGCAGCTACAGAGCCCAAACATGTGAACTTATATGGGGAATGGAGCAGGGCAGGCCCTCAGCTGTGTAGGTCAGTGCTGGGGAAGGTGGGACACCCTGAACTTTGAGAGGGGAGAGGTTCTGGGTATATTGGAGGACCTAAGGGAGACAGGAAGGGAGGAAGGTTGCAAATAAGCTATTGCAGATCCTCCAAGTGTCTCTATTTTCCAGGGACATCCCTGATTTAGAGAAGCCATCCCGGTGTCTGATTTGATCCCGGAATGTCCCACTTTCCTTAGGACGTACCTATTGGAGAAATGTTGGGAGGGTGCGGAGTTATCCGATCCCAGAGTCGTCTGAAGGCAATCCTGTATAGGGAAGGTTTTTTAAAATGTTTAATGTTTTATTATGTTTTTATATATGTTGGAAGCCGCCCAGCATGGCTGGGGCAACCCAGTAAGATGTGTGGAGTATAAATAGTAAAATTATCATTATGGAATGGGACGTCCCTATTTTCAATGGAGAAATGTTGGGCGGTATGCTATTGGGGCATACAGAGACACCTGGGTCAGCTACATACAACCTGAAGATACAGGTAGGCACCCAGCTATAATCTACACATGCCTTCCATGGGAAGCAACTCAGGAAAAACAGGAGGAATGACATATGAGGCATTTTCTGGAACCTTTTCCTACACAAATTTCCCTATTGGGAGAATTTGCTCTGAGATTTTCTTCTCTTCTTCAGTTTCCAGTATGAAATCTTCTGATACTCTAGGGAGAGTGATTCAATTTAATATGCTTATTTTACTGTGATTTAGTAAACAAAGCTGGAAACTTCAAAAACAGACATGCTTCCCCAGTACTTTCCTTTTTTGCAATTGACACCCATCCATTCATCGTTACTAACGAACTTACGGAACAGGAAAATTTTCAAGGGGGGAAACTTTCCCATATAGCATCACTGTGCAAAACTCTTGACAGTATAGAGATACTGTGTGCGGCCCCTAGAGAAGGAGAAGGAGGCTCCTTGCTTCAGACAGTTTACCTCAAATTTACGAAAGACAACGTAAAGGATCTAGGGGTCTGGGTAGACCACCAGCTTAACATGAGTCAACAGTGTGATGCAGCAGCAAAACAAGCTAACGCAATTCTAAGCTGCATCAACAGAAACACGGCATTCAGATCAAGGGAAACAACAGGACCACTCCATCCTGCCTTGGTCAGACCACTGCACCTGGATTACTGCGTCCAGTTCTGAGCACCACAGTTTAAGAAGGATTTGAAAAGCTGTAGGGTGCACAGAGGAGGGTGGCAAATATGATCAAGGGTCTGGAAACCAAGTCTTAGGAGGAACATTTGAGGGAGTGTGGATAAGTTTAGCCTGGAGAAGAAAAGGCTGAGAGGTGGTAAGATAGCCCTCTTCAAATGTCCAAAAGGATGTCAATGGAAGATGGAGCAAGCTTGTTTCCTGCTGCTCCAGACCTAAACTTTTGTTGTTGTTTAGTGGTTTAGTCGTGTCCGACTCTTCATGACCCCATGGACCAGAGCACGCCAGCCACTCCTGTCTTCCACTGCCTCCCGCAGTTTGGTCAGACTCATGTTTGTAGCTTCGAGAACACTGTCCAACCATCTCGTCCTCTGTCGTCCCCTTCTCCTTGTGCCATCCATCTTTCCCAACATCAGGGTCTTTTCCAGGGAGTCTTCTCTCCCCATGAGGTGGCCAAAGTATTGGAGCCTCAGCTTCAGGATCTGTCCTTCCAGTGAGCACTCAGGGCTGATTTCCTTCAGAATGGACCTAAACTAATGGGTTCAAATTACAAAAAAAGGAGATTCCAACTAAACATTGGAAGACCTTTCTGACAGTAAGAGCTGTTTGACAGTGGAACGGACTATCTCAGAAGGTGGTGGGCGTCTCCTTCAACGGACGTTGGATGTCAGAGATTCTTCAGCTGAAATTCCTGAATCGCAGGGAGCTGAACTTGATGACACCTGGGGTCCCAAGCCTCCACTTCTATGATTCGAACAAGGGAAGAGCTAGCCCACAAATCCCTGAGTGCCCCACTTCTTCCCACAGATGTGTTGAATTTCCAGTTTACAAATACAGTGGTACCTCTGGTTACATACTTAATTCGTTCCAGAGGTCCGTTCTTAACCTGAAACTGTTCTTAACCTGAAGCACCACTTTAGCTAATGGGGCCTCCCGCTGCCACCGTGCCGCCGGAGCACGATTCCTGTTCTCATCCTGAAGCAAAGTTCTTAACCCAAGGTACTATTTCTGGGTTAGTGGAGTCTGTAACCTGAAGCGTCTGTAGCCTGAAGCATCTGTAACCCGAGGTACCACTGTACTGCCTAAAATGGGGCTTCTGTTTCCAGAAAAGAGCAACACCGGCGTTAAAAAACCTCTGCAGTCACCCGGGGTGAGTTCTTTCCTCCAGCAGCTGTGCTATTTAACATGTCTGAGAAGTCGGAATCGCCATCGCTGAACACTTGGCAGGAACAATAAAGCAGGCAAGCACATATTTCAACAGGTTCAAAGTAACCTCAGATGTCGGCAGCAGATGCTCTTTCTGAACACACGCCCGTCCCGGCGTATCCCCCAGGACTTTTTGAACTGGTTGGAGCGTTTCCTCCCCTTCCCTCTAATAAGCCAGGGTGCTGGAGAAATTAGCCAGGGAAAGAAAAAGAACAACGGTAATTACCCGCCCACCGCCAGCCTAGGAGGCCTTCATTATTAATTGCAGCCTTCTCCTGCCTCCTCCGGCCTAGATCCCCCACTGGGGAGAATCCATGCTGGCCTGGGGGTCAGTGCTGCATAATGACACCACTTCACCTGCCTCTGTGAAAGTGAGTGGCCAGGAGGGAAAATGCCCGGCGCGACTCTCATTTCGACAGGGCTCAAAACTCAGAGAGGAGGCGCCAACCCCTTAGGTGGCTTTTAAAGGGTAGCAGCTGACAAGTGCAATCAGTCCTCCGCCTTGATTGCACAGCTGCCACAAGGATTGCCAAATGCGTCTCGTCTCGGTTTTGGAGGGGTGGCGGGAAACTCCCATGCCAAAGGGGAAGGATCCTGAGACCCATAGCTTGAGCCAGGCAACGATGGGCAGACGACGCGTTGATACAGCCTTGCTTACGCCCAAGGAACCGCTGAACTCAGCGAATGCCCATCCTATGGCTCTGTAGCTGCAAACTACGGTTTACTGTGCCGAAGGCGGCCGCAGACACTTTGCTCATCCCCACCCACGAAATGGGGGGGAAACGAAGCACAACCCTTGGCTGAGCGTGCTTTGTATTTTGGCTAACCAAGGAGTGAGGAACCTCAGGCTTGGGGGAATGGGCGGAGCCAGGGGGCAGCTGCCCCCTCCCAAAAAAATCAAGTAAATAAATAAAAAATATTTAACTGAAAGTAGAAACTGTAGAAAGATTTTGACAGGTTTTCTGAGCACTTGGGGTCAAAAGAAAGTAATTTGAGACAACTGTTATTGAGACATTTCATTCTGAATATGCTAGACAGAGCCAGACAGAGGATGATGAGAGGTGGGTGTCCTTGCCCCCCAACATAAATCCTGGCTATGCCCATGTTTGCGGGGCAATTGTGGCCCTCCAGGCCTCTTTATGTGGTCCCTGTAACTCCCTCACTGGCCCTGCTTTTACCCCGAGTGAACTCTTGACAATGCCTCTTGCTTGTCGAGAAGACAGATAGGTGCATGTATCTAGAAACTACCCTACTGTACAGCAAGGTAAAATCTGCATTTGTTGCTCCACCCACTTTTGCCTCTGGCTCCGCCCACCAATAGAATGTGGCCCTCAGACGGTTGCTAACCAACTACGCTAACCACAACTCCCAGTTTGGACATAAAATATGGCTTGCCCTGATGCAGTGCACACTTTGATTCTGGGTTGGTTTTTTTAATCAGCACGGTTAGGGACAAAGGGTTATGAAGGTCCCTTAAGCACCATCCCCAAGAGCACCGAAATCCCAGCCAAACCCCATCTCTCATTTCCATAGCAGTGACCAGAGGAAGAAGGACCACTGGGAGGAGCGCAGGAAGAAGAAATGCCCTGATGCATCTGCAGCAGCACAACAACTGGACACCTTCATCTGCCCCAGCTGCCACAAAACATGTCTCTCCTGTATTGGTCTCTGCAGATGCTGCAACCATCCAACAGCTTGACCTCACCCCCAAAGGTGCTCTCCTGCATTGTCTCCCGAGACAGACTATGTAAACACAACATGAGCCCAGAATCAGCTGTGGGCAAAAGATCATGCACAACAGTGCCGTTTAGCTGTTTTATGGGAGGAGAGGGGATCAAGATCATAGAATCATAGAGCTGGAAGGGACCCCAAGGGTCATTTAAGAACAACCCCCTGCAATCTCAGCTAAAAGCATCCCTGACAGATGGCCATCCAAACTCTGCTTAAAGGTAAAGGGACCCCTGACCATTAGGTCCAGTCGTGACCGACTCTGGGGTTACGGCGCTCATCTCGCTTTATTGGCCGAGGGAGCCGGCGTACAGCTTCTGGGTCATGTGGCCAGCATGATTAAGCCGCTTCTGGCGAACCAGAGCAGCGCACGGAAACGCCGTTTACCTTCGCGCCGGAGTGGTACCTATTTATCTACTTGCACTTTG